TATTTCATAAGAATTAAAATAAAGACTGAAAAACATCTCAGTAGGTGTTTTGGAACCAGTCAATAAACCCAATCAACCAACTAATCGTGTTCAAAGGAGGGCAACAAAGCTGGTGAGGGGTCTGGAACACAGGCCATATGAGGAGAGGCTGAAGGAGCTGGGAATGTTCAGCCTGGAGAAGAGGAGGCTCAGGGGAGACCTCATTGCTCTCTATAACTTCCTGAAGGGAGGTTGTAGTGAGCTGGGGGTCGGCCTCTGCTCTCGTGTCATTAGTGATAGGACCAGGGGGAATGGCTTCAAGCTACGGCAGGGGAGATTCAGGCTGGACATGAGGAAGTATTACTTTTCAGAAAGGGTGGTCAGGCACTGGAATGGACTGCCCAGGGAGGTGGTGGAGTCACCGACCCTGGGGGTGTTCAAGGAAAGACTGGATGTTGTGTTGAGGGACATGGTTTAGTGGGAGCTATTGGGAATAGGTGAACGGTTGGACTGGATGATCTTTTAGGTCTTTTCCAACCTTGGTGATTCTATGATTCTATGATTCTATGATTCTATGATTCTAATCAGCCAGCTGAAAACAAAACAAGAAAGGAAGATTACGATTTGACCTGAACTTTCCAAGAAAACAGAAAACAGAACTACATCTTTTTCAACAGAAAGGTGAGTCTTCTTATGAATACTACTCTAAGAAGGAAGAAAATAGTTGCACACAGCTCTGCAAATCAATCAACTTAGGAGACTATAGTCAGCAATATTAATGAACACAGAAAAGCTTTCTCTTTAAAATAACAGTAGATTCATATAATAAAAATTTCTTTACATTAAAGTTTAAAAAAATACTTATGAGCGGCTACACTTGATTTTAAATGCTTGTCAGATTGATTTGCTGTGATTCTGATTTTATCTGGAGTTAAAAAACCACAGTATTATTCCTGTTTGCTGGTTTTGTAACTACATACAAAAATATAAAATACTGCACACAGCTGGAAGAACACACAACTGTGTCACATAGTAAAGGAGCCAAAGAAAGGAAATATTAAAACACTGCTTCTTCTGGTATCCTTGAAGAATCTGTGGTGGCAACAAGGCTTGTTGTTTCCTGCCTAAAGAAATATTGCATATTTGGAACGCTGAGTTGTAAATATCTACACTGCAAAGATCTTGCTTTCTTGAACTAACCTCAATTACAAGACTGTGACATTGAAACAGAGTTCTTCCAGACACTCACTCTCCCAGTCTGGCAGCAAGGACTCCATCAGTCCCACCCGCGCTTGCTCATTTGCAACTGCATACTCAAGAGATGCAATCCGAGGGGATTCCTCTATACTTGCAACCCTCCAGCAGTCTTCAGTCTCCAGATGAGTTAATGAAGGCAATGCAGGACTGCCCTGTAGTCACCAGCACTGACCATGGTGGACAAGGTGCTGGATCCACCAAGCGATGGAGCACCTCTGCTTCCAAAATTAGACCGATACAGCCTATTAAAAAACAGCAGGTGGACTTCTTTGGAATAACTGCAGAGTAATTTCACTAACAGCCCAACACCCTCTGATTGAAGGTGGTTAATTTTGTTGTTGCCTGATTTTGAACTATCTGGTCTTTTAAGTTAGAAACTTCTTTTCCCACTTCGAACAACAACTGAACAAAATTTATAGCAAACAAATTATGAATTTCAACAGTTTATTTTCAATTTCACAATTCCTAATGAATGTGAAAATAAATCTTTTGAACTGATTTTTAAACAGGTTTGCACAAAAATAGTATACTTGTAAGCATGTACCCAGATGAAAAATGATAAGCAAGGAAAAAAAATGTCTTACGTGACATTAATTTTTATGAATAACATTCATAAAATATTTCCATCAGGCTACTTCAGATGTACTTTGTCTAGTCTAAACTGATATTTGGATTGTTAACTGACCATTGATCATATAATGCAAGTTACTTAACACTTGTCTAAATATCATTTTCTGTTTCTTCAGTTCCTCTTGTGGAATAAAATAACTATGTAGAGCTAATCTAAAGATGTTTCACATGCTGTACTAAGAAGCATGTAACCCAAAACAATGACAGGTAACTTACTTGAATAAGTTTTTGCAAGCCTATTGATGTCTACGAGGCGCATACAAACTCCATACCTCAATCTGAGTAACTTCTGCACAGATTTTGAAGGTTAAAAAGAGATTTATCCATCTTCATAAACCACGTGCTTTTAGTTGGCCTTTGTTCAAACATTCAAAAATATCATCTTTGAGCTGAGACTAATCATAGAAGGCTTAATCCCTCAAGGAAATTGTTCTGGGAAAGTTGTAAGCAGACAGAACAGGAATTTATACTGGTAGTTGGCTTGCAACCTCAGGCTCTCATCCCAAAAATGTTTACACACACTTAGCATCTCAAAAACTTGTAAGTCCTCAGTGTTGCATCAATTTCCATGTAGATAGACTGTGGGCACCTTTGTGACTTTTCCTGAAATCTGTGAGGGTTACATGAAAATGCCTTCCTGTATGCAACTCACAACATGTTCAGGTAGTTCAATCTGTTCTGATTATCATCTTTAAAAAATAATATTGCCTTGTTCTCAGAAAAGGAAGAATCTTATCTAATTACATGCCAAGTGCTTCAAAGAGTGCACTACTGTCTGTAAATAGGCAGCATGCTAGAGGCATGGAGAGAGCAAGGGCTACAGGTCTACCTTTTAGGCACTAGAGACATGAGCTGAACATCTGCACAGATATAAAAGCAATTGTGCTGCAAAAGGTGGGATATTCTCAGAACTACATGTCTTCCACTCTGACTGAGAACTGAATAATCTACTTGACAGAGATAGCCAAAACGGAAGGCTGAAATTCAGGAAGGGACAGCAAAAAGCTCCCACTGTGTGTGACCTTGAATCCTCACCCTTTTCATGAAATAGAGCTAGAAAAACAGCTTTTTTAGTATCTTGGTGATTAAGCACCACACAGTGAACATGGGAGACTCAAATCTCCTCTCTGCCTGAAGGAATGCACATTTACATCTCCCACAAGAACTCTACTGACTCAGCTATGTGATATCATAGTTTGGACTCTCCCAACTTCTCCCGTTAAAGCCCTTCTACTCCTCACAATGTATTTACATATTCACTTGCAGTAAACACTGAATTCTTGCCTTTTTCCAATTGTCCTGTTGACTGTCAGGTTATAGAATTAGCCCAAGTCAATCAAGCTCTGCCCTTCATGAAAGCTAAACAATTTCAAAGCCGTGACTGAGACAATACCAGCTCATGAAAATCTACAATTGGAAATGAGGATGTGCTGCCAGAAGGTGGGAAACATGAGCACCTCTCCTGGCACAGATATGCACTCCATCCACCTCGAGAACAAGAGAATCTTAGATCATAGAATATCCTGAGTTGGAAGTGAACCAAAAGAATAATTGAGTCCAACTTTGACAAAAATAATCTGCCAAGCCCTTCCACTCCTAAGTGGTCCCCAGTAGCACAGACTCAGATGGGGTAAGCCTAAACCTGCATGCTTTTAAAGGATATCTATCTTCAACTCCCACCTGCAGCCAAGGTGCAGACCTTTCTCCCTCTGTAGGAAAGCAGAACACCCAATCTATGAAGCTCTGAAAGTGCTCCTGGAGATAGTCCTGCTGAAGAGAGGTGGAGCAGTGACTGGGGTGTGAATTCATTGTGCTTGTGTGCAACAAGGTACCTACCTACCTGCTGGGCACTCACTAGAGCACACTAGCAGCCATGTTGATGCTAAAGGAAACCTGAAGGCCAATACACAAGTACTCAGTGTCTTCAGAGATCTGATGGCAGCCATGTCAGGTTGAGTTTTGGACAGGGGAGGACTAAAGCAGCACCAACGTGACAAGATGCAGGTAGCTCAGGCCCATGTCAAGCTTCATCACCTGACTCCAGGGTGGAATAGGAGCTCTTTCTTCCCCGCTGAGACACCATCACTGAAACAGAGACCGCGTATCAGTTGGATGTCACCTCAATTTTATTGAGCAATTTAAAAATATCCTAAGGAGGTGTCATTTTATTTTGAAACATTCCCTCTCGTGCTCTTTTCAGAAGCTCCTGTATACACGCTGCTTAAAAAATTTAGGAAGATTAGGAATTCAGGATTTTCTTTTTCTCAGAGTGGTGAGGCATTGGAACAGGCTGCCCAGGGAGGTGGTGGAGTCACTGTCCCTGCAGCTGTGCTTGAGAACCGTGTGGATGCGGCACCGATGGTCATGGCCAGCGGGCATGGTGGGGATGGGCTGATGGACCGGATGATCTTAGCAGTCTTTTCCAACCTTAATAATTCTATGATCGATTCTACAAAGCCACAGGCGCAATTTCACCCAGAATACCAGCCTCCAGCTACCCGGCACCAGGCTCACCCCATCAGCCCCGGGGGCACCGAGACTCCGTCCCCACGGCAGCCATTTCGGGGGGCGGGGGACGCTCCGCCAGGGGGATGCGCGGCGGCACAAAGGGAGCGCGGCCCCGAGCGAGGCGGCTCCAGCTTCCCCGTGCACGGGAGGGAGGAGGATGGAGGAATATTCTGGACCGAGGGAGGGGAGGAAGACGAAGGTGATGAATAACTTGAATAAATCTGCGGCGGAGGGGGGGGCGGGCGCGTCATGTGAGGCAGAGTCATGCTGCGGGACGGAGGAGAGAAGCACCTGGGGCGCCAGGCGCCCGCCCGCCATTTCCACAGCGCGCGCCCCCCCGTCCACCTCACGCCCCCTCCCCACTCAGGAGCGCCGCCACGCGGGGACACCCCCGCCCTTCCTCCTCCTCCCGCACGGGGCTCGGCGCCGCTCGGCAATTTCCGCCACGCGAGCCGAGCCTATTTCCGTCAGCCCGGGCCAGACGGGCTTTATGTCTGCCAGCGGGGCGCGCATGCGCGGCCGCCGCCATCTTACGTTGTCTCTCGCCTGCCCTCCCCTTTGGCGAGCTTTCCCCTCCCCCCTGCAGCCCCGCGCAGCGCCCTGCTCCTCCTCAGCGCTCCGCGAGGAGACGGGGCCGGGCGGGGAGAGACCCGCGGCGGCCGGGGAGCCGCGAGAGCCCGAGGGAAAGAAGAAAGGAAGGCAAGGGCAGGCCGGGCGTTGCGGAGGAAGAGCGGTACCGCCTGTTATAAAGGGGAGGAGGCGGAGGGGGAAGGAAGAGCGTGCGGAGCGGAGCCGCCTCCAGAGACAGCCAGACACAGGGAGGAGAGCGGCTGCCCGCCCGGCTCCCCCTCCCTCCTCCTTTTCATGGACTCTCTCGTCGGGCTGCCGTCGCTTTTCTTCCCTCCTCGCTCCGTCTCTCTCCTACCCAAAATGATTCAGCTCCATGGCTGCCACTGACGGGGATGTCCCTGCCCGGCTCAGCCCGCCGCTGCCGCCCCGCTGTGCGCCAGTCCCGTACGTATCTCCGCCGCGCTCCGGCCGCGCTGCCCCGAGGCCCGCCGGCTGCTCTCGCTCCGCTGAGGCGGCGGCCCGGCGCGGGGAGGGCGGTTCTGCCGGTTGCCGGCTCGGGGAGGGCAGAGGCTCGGCCCCGGGCTAACGCGGGCATTTCCTCCGGCCTCAGCCCACCCCGCGGAGAGGCGCCGGCGGGGGGTGGGGAGGTGAGGAGGGGGGAGCGAAAAGGGGGTGGGGGATGGCGGGGGGGGGGGGGGGGGGGGGGGAGTGGGGTTGGAGAGGGAGAAAGAAAGTGAATGGCGGAGGATTGGAAGTGTGACATTCAGAGGCGGCGGAGGAAAGCTCCTCGCCCCCTCCCTGTCTCGGAGGAGGGGGGTGGCGGCGGTGCCGGGGTGCTGCGTGGCTCCGCGCCCCGCTAACTGTGTGCGTGTCTGTCTCTCTCCATGCCGGGGGATCGCTCTTAAAATACGCCTGATACAATGCACCAGCCTGACTCAGCCGCAGACATTAGTGCTAGGAAGATGGCGCACCCGGCAATGTTTCCTAGAAGGGGCAGCAGCAGTAGCAGCGGCAGCAGCTGCGTTACTGCTCCCACTGCACCAGGTACCGGCGTTGGGAGCGCTGCCCTCTCCGCCGAGGATTACCAGCCGCCCCTGCTGGTCCAGCCGCCGCCTCCATCTCCTGCAGCATCCTCATCGGCGGGCCTGCAGCCGACACCCCCTCCTCCACAAAGCCTGAACCTCCTCTCGCAGTCTCAGCTCCAGCCGCAGCCTCTCGCGCAGACCGGAGCACAGATGAAAAAGAAAAGTGGCTTCCAGATTACCAGCGTGACCCCTGCTCAAATATCTGCCAGTATGAGCTCTAATAACAGCATAGCTGAAGATACGGAAAGCTACGATGACCTGGATGAGTCTCACACGGAAGACCTGTCTTCTTCAGAAATCTTGGATGTTTCTTTATCCAGGGCCACTGACTTGGGTGAACCTGAGAGGAGCTCTTCTGAAGAGACTTTAAATAACTTCCAAGAGGCAGAGACTCCCGGGGCCGTTTCTCCAAACCAGCCTCATCTTCCTCAGCAGCACCCTTCTCTGCCTCATCATCCGCAGCAGAGCGTTGTGATCAACGGAAGCGTTCACCCCCATCACGTCCATCACCACCATCATCTTCACCACCACCATCATGGACACCATCACCCATCACATCCTGGGGTGGGCAGCGCCCCAGTTTCTGGAGGACCACCACCCAGCCCATCGTTTAGAAAGCTATCGACAACTGGAAGCTCTGACAATGTTATATCAGCTGCGCCAGGTTCTGCTGCATCATCCACCGGTCCCCCTGCATCTGCCGTGTCTAATATCCGCACTACGAGTACACCTGGCAGTCTAGGTGTAAGTTCTGCTACTGGAACTAGTACCTTGAATAGTATGGGTGGAGGTAGTTCTAGTGTGGCAAGCAGTGTGCTTGGTACTATGAATTTAAGCAACATCACAAGTACTGGTAATGTAAATGCTTTGTCTGGAACTAGTGGCAATGTTAATGTGAATATCTTGAGTGGTGTTGGCAATGGTACGAGTGCTTCCTCTAGTGTCGTTAACAATGTTACTAATCCGAGTGCAGGAGTGGCCGCGGGATCCAGCCAACAGCAGCCCGCATCTGGCACCTCAAGGTTTAGGGTTGTAAAATTAGATTCTAGTTCTGAACCTTTCAAAAAAGGTAGATGGACATGCACTGAGTTCTATGATAAAGAAAACACTGTTGCAGCTTCAGAAGGAGTAGCAGTAAACAAAGCAGTAGAGACGATAAAACAAAACCCGCTTGAAGCGACTTCTGAAAGGGAGAGCACCAGTGGGAGTTCTGTTAGCAGCAATGTAAGCACACTGAGTCACTATACAGAAAGTGTGGGAAGTGGAGAAATGGGAGCACCTACTGTGGTACAGCAGCAAGCCTTTCAAGGTGTGGGTCCTCAGCAGATGGATTTTAGCAGCGCTGCTCCTCCAGCAATTCCAGCATCTAGTATACCACAGAGTGTTTCCCAATCACAGCTTGCACAAGTCCAGCTGCATTCTCAAGAGATAAACTATCCGCAGCAGAAGCCAGGGGTCCAACCTCCTGCACAGGCCAGTCTAACCACTGTTACTGGGGTTCAGCCAGCCCCGGTTAATCTACTAGGTGTATCCCCAGCTCTGGGCCACCAGCAGCCTGCCATTCAAAGTATGGCTCAACAGCAGTTACCTTATTCTCAGCCGGCGCAGCCTGTGCAGACTCTGCCAGTTGTACAACAGCAGCAGTTGCAGTACGGACAGCAGCAGCAGCAGCAGCAAGCGGTTCCTACGCAGATGGCCACAGGTCACGTTAAGTCGGTGAACCAAAACGCTGTCACGGGGGCTGTGCCAGAGTATATTCAGCATCAGCAGATCCTTCAGCCCCCGGCACCTGCTATGCAGCCCAGTCCTGCAGGAGTAGGGGCAGGGCCGCCGGTTCCTGTTGCCCAGGTCCCGAGCATGCAGCCTGCGGTCCCGGCGCACCCAGCCGCTGCCCCGGCTCAGCCTGCTGCGCACGCCCCGGCAGCGATACCAGGTGTGGGTACCAGTGGGCAGATGTTGAGCGTTGGGCAGCAAGCAAATGTGGCCACTGTGGTGCAACCACCACCTGCTGCAAACCAAATTCCACCTCCAGTTATGCCATCAACCGCTGCTCCTCCATCTTCGCAAGTGGTGCAGCCTGTGCAGACAGGAATAATGCAGCAGGGATTACAGGCTAGCGCTTCAGGCCTTCCTCAGCAAATGGTTATTGCTCAGCAAAACACTTTGTTACCTGTACAGCCGCAGGCACAAGCGGTGGAATCAGTGGTGCAAGGAATGACTGGCCAGCAGCTGCCTGCAGTTAGCCCCATACCTTCTGCTAGTACTGTTGCTGCACCGAGTCAAGCTGGTTCGGCTGTGCCCCCTGGCATACCTTCTGCTTCTATAGGTTTGGGACAGCCACAGAGCATAGCCCAGGCTTCAGCTGTGCAGAATGGGAATCTGGCTCAGAACGTTAGTCAGCCTCCTTTGGTATCAACAAGTATAGGTATGCCGGTGGCACCCAGCGTGCCGCAGCAGATACCGCTGAGCTCTACCCAGTTCCCAGCACAATCACTAGCCCAGCCAGTTGTAAGCCAAATGGAAGATGGCAGGCGCCCTACAGAACCTTCCCTCGTTGGTTTACCTCAAGCTGCCAGCGGGGAGAGCGGCGTTGGAGCGTCGGCCATCGCTGATGGCAGTAGCAGTAACGTGCCAGCCTCGGCCTCCCTCTTCCCACTGAAGGTGCTGCCCTTGGCGACGCCCCTCGTAGATGGGGAAGACGAGAGGTAAGGCCACCTGTAACTTTATTTCAGTGATGAACAGTTTGATGTGCGCTAACTTGCAGCTCTCGTTACAGCTATTCTGTGAGGTGGAGCGGTGCAGTGGTTTTGTCTGACTAGAAATGGTGTTTGTCAGGTCCCTGCGCATGCAGGTACCCTATGAAAATGCTTGTATTTCTCATGAGGGGGTGGGTTGTATTGATTATGTTCTGAAACTACTGCGTGGGTAAATTGTGTTTAACAATCTGTGACAGTGTGTATATTCCCATTGTACAGAGGAAGACAAAAGAACACTGTGGAACGTGGGTATGCTGGTGGTGATTGTAGTTCAGATTATTTATCATAATGACATAATTAATATTTATTCTCAGGTAGACTTCCTTTTTTTTTTTTTTTTTTTTTCTCCTCCCCCAAACCTGGACTTCATTCTGCCCCAGCTTCTCTTTTCAAGTATTGCCTTCACTCAGGTTGAACTTGTTATGAAGCTGTGGTGTGCCTTCCCTTTGGCATCCAAGAGGTGCTTTGGCATCCAAGAGTGAGTATGGTGGGAGAAGGAAGGTCAGCAATGCTGTTGTGGCTCTTCCAGTTGAACTTGGGGCAATTTTGGTCTCAGTGGTTTTGCTTCGAAGCATTCATGCATTGTGGGAGCAGCTCAGGCCTGTGAGGGGCGGTGAGCCTGCAAAGTCAGTGACAAACTGTGCGCCTTCCCCCACCTCCACTTCTCTGATAAATGAGGGCTGGTTGGTCCTACTGGTACGTGCTTGTGAATATTCTCATTTCTTTGACAGTGTGTGCAAAGGAGCTGTGTCAGTGGTGAAAGGCCTTCGAGTCTGCAGGATCAAGTGATCTTAGCAGCAGATCTGCAGTGTGATTGTTTAATATTAATTATGTCTGGAAATTCCTAACTCTCTCGGGGGCCTCTTGTGATAGTGCTTACAAGTGGACAGGAAGGCTGTGGTGGTTTTCCAAAAACCTTGTTTAAGAAGAAACTGTGCTAATGGGAGAAGGAGATAAGTTTAAAATAAATAGCCTGCCTTGAAGATGGGGGAGAGGACAAAAAGGAGCACTGAAAGGAAGGAGAAAAAAAAAAAAAAAAAGCTGAGACTTGAGGAAGGAGACAAAACAAAGAACCCAATGCATACGAGGTGAGAAAGAACTGCTATGGTGATGGGAGGCGAGGTAATGTTTAAATATTTTCTTGGTGCTGTAGCTTAAATCAGAAGAAATAGCAGTGGCCAAACTCTATTTTTAAAAGTATTAATAAACAGGTTTCTGGGAGAGGCTGGGTTCTTAATATTGAAAATACTAACTCTATCAGCAGTCTCTGATTATGTTGATCATGAGGTGTTGACTGTCTTAGTGGCTTTCATCACGTCTTTCTGAGATGCCAGAGAGTTCTAATGAGTAGCAGCTTGTCTTTGAGGAGTGCTGGAAGACAAGTTCCAACACTGCTTCATTTTGATTATATTTTTTAGTCAATATATACGTGAAGGTGGTAGAAGACAGATGGAGGTATTGCAGCTCACAGTGTCACCATTGTGCTGTTAGCAGTCAATTTTCTCAGGAACTTTTTATTTGCTTTTCTTTCCTCTGACCTTTCTAAACTCGGACACTGATCCTTCTCTTTGCTGGTCCTGTTTTTTTTTTTTTGTTTTTCTTTTTTTTAATTAATACCAACCAATGAAAAAACAAAACAAAACCCAAACCCTAAGCTTTCAGGGGATCCCAGCTAAATAAGAATTTTAAGCTCATTGATACTCAGTGTTTTGGAAAATCACATCTACCACGTGACTGTACCCTGATTTTAAGAGCATATGTTGGCTGTTCGTCAGGATGGGCAGTTTTTCCCAGCCTGTTTAAATCCCTCTGGGTAACAATAGCCAGAAATACCTCCTTCCTCTGTTATTTGGCCAGCTAAAGATCATATCCTTTCTTCTCCCATGCACGTTGTGTCTTTGTTTCTATCTGTCATCTCCAGGTAGACTGTACTTTTGTTTAGCTGCAGTTGGAAAATCATTTAGATGCTTTACATGGAGCAGGATATGGCTATCAAATGGAGACCAAAAATAATTATTCTGCGTGGCAGCAGCGGTCGGTTGGCTTGGATAACAGGCAGTGGTGTTTCTCCCTGTATATCTGCCTGTAAAATTAAAAACATTGTGAGATTTGCCTCTGTTTCTACTGCCAAAGTGTCTCTGGACAGGGGATCGTGTTGTCTCGACCGTGGCATTTCTTTAGCTGTGGAGCTCAGAGCTCATCCCTCCCTGAAGGCAGTGCAGGGTTTGCTGCTGCTGCTCCCTTGCTCCCCACTTTTATCTCTGGCCAGTGAACGTCTCTAACTAGAGCTCTCTTGGGAATTTTGTGCTGATTAGTTACACTATTCCCTCTCTTTTACAGGAAATGAAGGGGTAGTGTGTTGTAAAATTGTACACAATTATGTAAAATTGTTGGAAGTACGTAAGCATTTAAGGAAATGTACTGTAAATATATATGCAAGTGTGTGCATATAAAATGTCTCTCTTGCACACACATGCGTGCACATATTTATATCATTTAAGATCTTATCAATACATCCCAAGTGATTCTGAGCCTCGCAAGGGAAGATCTGGGAGAAAAAAGCAAGTGATGACATAATTGGGCCAGTGAAGAAGCTGTAAAATTCCATGTAGTGTGCCTTTGAAGAAACATCTGACCCATGTAATACCTTGTTTAGATTAACTCCCAGCTTTCCTTAAACCTGTGTGTAATTGCATTTAAAGACCAGTATCTAAGTCTTTAGCCCCGTTTGATTTTAGAATACCGTTTGCAGCTCTTTCTGTGCCTGTTATCAGGATGTGTCCTTTTAATTATAGGCACTGTGGAGCCTGTCTGCTTTGAAAAACACTAACCTTTATTTCCCCTGTACGGATCAGGGTTTTTTTTTCCTCCTCACCGCTGTGACTTGAAAAGATATTAAAAATGAACTACTTGGCAGAGCGTGCCATGGAAAATTAATTTGCCAACTTCATTTATGAAAGAGGATACAAATAAGAGTTGGTGTCTGTATTTAAAAAATGAATTCGGCCCTGTGTTTCCTCAGCCTGTCAGGTGTGCCATCATGGTCATATATTGGTGTTGCTCTTCTATTATTTCAGTCTATAAAAATACCAGCCCTTTTTTTTGGTATTAAATGTCTTTTTTTGCTTTTTAGCTTGAATCCTGGTATGAGCTCCTTTTAATGCATGATTCTCATCTGGTTCCTCCCTTAAATTTACTGCAGTTACCTGAATTTATTCAGTTATTATCTCTTCTCAGTTTTAGATGTGGTAATTTGAGATCAGTATTTCATCTTAAAACCAGAGAAATCTAGTTCAAATTTCAGTGCTTTTGAAATCTTTTGAAGTATGGAAACATATGTATTCGTATTGCAGCAGATTCTTTTGTGTATTTATTCTGTATTGCAAAACTGATTAATTTTGCATCTTTGTAGAGAATTCTCAGTGATGCTGTATGTACTTGCAATGAGGGTTTGCATGGATTTGCACAATTCTTTAACTGGAAAGGGAAAACTTCTTTTTAAAAGCATATTTACAGCACTTATATGGGCTGCTGTAAATGAGGTTTAAAATGACTTCATCTGAGTACCTTTACTCAAAAGCAGATTTTATGAATGAAAGATGAGAGAGCTGTCTCCCTGTCCTTGATGCTTTCTGTAGAATTGCTTTCAGTCTTTCATCTGATGTAAGTTGTTTTCACCTGTTTATGCATTTCATCGCAGAGTAAAGCAAAAGAGGAAGGAGAAAAAGATGATAAACACGTCAAAGTGGTACAGAGACTTGAAGTATCTTTTATTATCTGACAGCCTCTCCTACAATTCCCTTTCTAAAGGGAAATTTTAAGCAGAAGATCTCTTTATCACTGGACAGGCAGCAAAACAAATTTTTGGAGGATGTTTTTCTGTGTAGTTTGTGTTCTGACAGTGGAGCAATGGCTGGGAGCTTGTAGCTGAAAGCAAGAACTGAAAGGCTTGTGAACAGTATTGTGAGACTCTGGGAGCAGTAACTAGGAGCAGCAGCTTGTAAAGCAAGTTCACAGGAGATGGGATGGAGTTTCATGCACACGAGTGTACAGTAGGAGGGTTGGTTGGATTTTTACAGATGTAATTTAATACTCGTTGAAGATGTTAGCAGCAAAGTGAACGTGCTGCAGTAAAGCTGGGAGCTGCAATTAAGTGTCATTTTTGATGCAGTAATTAATTTGCGTGCCTTTTTATTTTGTAAGCTGTTTTGGTGCTTATGTGGAATTCGTTATTGGCTGTTAATTTTGCTTCTGTGTATTTAAGGAAAAGAGAGGAAGATACTTTCAGAAGATACTTTCCAGCTAATGATTTGGATGGATGTGTGGAGAGTTTCCTGGGTGCGTCCTAATCACTGTCTTCCATTTCTCAGATGTTAAAGCTTGCTTTAAAGTCTTACCACCCATTTGAAAATGGCATAACTTGATTTCCAGAATACCAACTCCTTAAAAAGTCTCTTCATATCTTCAACTTGGCTATTTTTGGAGCTTGAAAAAATAGTTACCCTCAGTAAATGGCAAATCACATGAGTGAAAAGAGTGATTTGGCAAAGCAAATGTGGTTGCTGCCACGTGGTGCCGACAAGTTCAGCTTCTCATTTCAGCTGAGGAAATAAAACAGCCTCTGTTGGCAGTATTGAGTTTGATAGTTCTCTGCTGGAAGGTAAGAAGAGTGAGGGATGTAAAGTCTGCAGGAGGTGTCTGCTGGCCAGCTGCAAGCAGAAGAGTGCTGCTCTCCCTGCTGCCTGCGACCCATCAGCTGAGTTTGGTGACACTTGGGCTATGGTTATCCCAAACCACAGCTTGGGATAGTTAGCACTGTTCTGTGTGTGTAATGACAGCAAATGCTTTGCCTTTGTGTGGTTGGAAAGCTGAACTCAGTGCAGGCAGGAAAGTAGTGACCTTTCTTTGGATGGACCTCTTTCAGGTGCCTCTCTATAGGTGCATTTTCT